GCGTTCATCGGAGGACGGACGCTGCGTACTGTCGCAGCAGTTGTTCATTCATAGACGCTGTACCAAAAATATACTGTCTGATACCATAATTCGCCCATTTCATATTTATACTATGGCCAGGAGCAATTCAACAGAACCTAGACCAAATTAGTGACAACCGATGGATAATAATAATCATTGGTAACGATGGTGTTGTCTTCTGTGTAGGAATAACTTCCTTTATGACAACAAACGCTTTGGTGAGAGGAAGGACGAAGTGAAACCCATGGTTGCCCAGGGGCCAAAAACTAATAAGAAAGGTGACAGCCCGGCATGTTATTGAAGGCTTGGTGAATCGTGTATCGTTTTTACAGAACATCGGAAGGGTCGTTCGAAGATGAGGGATGAAAAACGGAGTCGCCGGCGGGCTCGTTCCGAGTCTTCCTCGTCCTCCTCGTCATCAGCGTCATCATCCAGCAGTAGCGACTCGGACTCGGAGAGTGATAGCAGCAGTGGCAGTGGCAGTAGTGATAGTAGCGGGTCGGAGAGCAGCCGAAGCCCCAGCAGGTAGAATCGGTCAGCTCGGTGCTAGATGGGACTCTGGTGGTATGTTCAGGAGTCGTCGCCGATCGAAGGGAGGGTCCCCGCAACAGCGAAGACAGGAAAGATCTTCTTCCAAGACGGGAAGTAGCATTGAGGTCGGCCTGGTGTCATCCTGTACGATTGTCGTCAGGGAAATCGGGAGATCTGGATGCATGGAGGAGAGCTCGGGATGACGCCCAAGCCGGGCCGAGGCAGCGATACATCGAACGGCCGCCGCCGGAGAGAAGAGGTGATAATAATAGTCGGAGGATCTTGAATTTTCACGCAAGGGTTTGTCGAAACTTTACGGTATTTAACTGGCGAAAGTTCCTTTTCCACACTGGCAGGGTTTCTGAATTCTCGTTGGAACTCCAGGCGGGGTCCGATGTTGCTGCTGACAACTCAATGGCTCATGAATCCACTTGAACTCTGTCGAAAAGTTTAAACGCAATGAAACAGCTAGTTCTTATGGGTACTTTATCAAGAGGATTGAATGCGAACAATATTATCGCTGGCCCAATATCTAACTCCGACGAGAGACGCCTGAGTAGTTTGTTCGTCCGTCGCCTCCTAGGCCATAGGCTTTCACCAGCTTCACTAGTCTTCTGTCGTTGGGGAAACGGGAGTGGTTTTCAATTCTTGAGCTAACATGTTGCGGGTAGATCTCAATTCTCGTTGGTATCCGGGCGCGTGTGGTATGAGTGCCCTTGTTAGATGACCGGTCACGTGAGAAGCCCCGAAGGGAGAAGAGTCTATCCCCTCCGGGTCCTCGTAGATCAAGACGGGATGAGAGTGGATCGCCCAAACGAAGAAGGAGAGAGAACGGCAGTGGTAATAGTGGCATTGAGTCTGTGGCGTTGGGCTGACTTGTGCCATCAATCCTTGAGCCAGAGCTGCCCAACGCGTGCCTTGAACGACCCCGCTCCTGCTCCTGTCTCACTGGGCGTCTCGTAGCGTTCATATCGAATGTCGTGGTCGTGGGGATAGCTGGAGGTCGGTTCTCAGTGCGCGGACATTGCAGCATTCTCGGTCACGCCAAATATGTTGTTGGTTAAAAAATTCAACCTGAAATTACCGCAGGAGTGCCGGGGCGTACCACCACGACCGGCAGGCGGAACTCTGATGGGGGATGGCGTCCGGCTGTGGATTAGGCTAGGATTTATAAACTCGAATCCTCTTCGCGAGGAGCTGACTTTTGCGTGTCCCCTTTCCAGACGCAGCCCCTCCATCCGGTTCACCAAGAAAGGTTACGAGGCGTCGAGGATCTTCCCAGAGGCGCAGCAGTAGGGAGTGGGAAATGCGATTTGGTCGTGGTGTGGTATGCCTGGCTCAGGCTGGTTTGAGCTATCTCTCTCGCCATCTCGTGGGTCTCCTCCTGAATCTCAACCTAACAAGGGCGAGGCTTCGGGCGGAAGTACCATCTGTCCACCATTTCGCGGGCCAAATTCATCATTTCAGGGCGCAGTCGTTCGAGGAGCGTCTCTGAGCGGGAACGCTGGGCGCCGAGGGAGGAGGGATCGAGCAGACGGAGAAGTGAGATTCGCGACTGATGTGTGGGAAGTTTGGTATGAGACGGATATTTTTTCAGGCCCCTCTCGATCGAGTTCGAGGTCTCGGTCTAGAAGTAGAAGAGACGATAGCAGGAGAAGGAGATACTGAGTCAGTCTAGTTTACGTGGAAGCGTTGTGTTGGGTTGTGTTTTTGATAAATCTTAGCGGAGCGAAGCAGGGAGTTGAGTATTTTCGGCAGGGGGTGTTTGCGTCAGTCAATCGGCCATGCCATCTTTCTTACGAAAACTGTCTTTTCTCAAGTGCGGGAAGATGTCGAAGAAGGATCGCCGATGGTGGGGTGACAAAAATTGCATCGCTCCGCTAAGAATTCGTCCATTTTTTCGTCAGTTCGGTGCCGCTGGTCAGCAGCAGCAAGAAGGAAGGGGCCGATTTTGCGGTGGATGGCGTTGAGATTGAATGCGGCAATTGTCGGGCCTCGACGAGGATTCCTGAAGAAGCGAATAACTTTCTATGCGAATCGTGCAAGTGTGCAAGGGAGGAGGGGCGATATTAATGCTCCACTCCTACCACTCCTTCCGCAAATCGTGATCAGGTCGGTGAATCGGGTTACTGTGTATCCGCTGGGTGACCGAGGCGTGGATGTCGTGGAAGAACCATCGTGCACGGTGCCTCGTCAAAGGGGGGCTAACCATGGCTTACAACTAGCAGGGGACTCAAGGTGAGGAGAGTTGAGGAATTGCAAGATTGCAAGATTTGGGTCTGTTCTTAGTGGTGTCCTCCTTCCATGCAGCATATGCCTCGATCGCCCTGGAGATTGCGTGTTGCTTCCGTGCAATCACGGAGGTTTCTGTCAAGTAGTCGTGCATGCATAATCGATCGTCTGATCGATTTGATTGACTACGCAGGTCTGCAGTATTTACGTTGGATGCAACCTTGCCGTTGGCGGACGTCATTGCCCCAAGTGTCGGGAGTACATCGAGCAGATCATTCGCATTGGCAGGATCCATGAGATGGTGAGGAAGTAGCGCGCGCCCTGTCGATCGATTCCATCTTTTTAGGAGCTGAAGGGGAATCCTGTCGCTATTCCCATGCCATTGGAAGGTGAGGAGCCTCCGGAGGTAGGAGGAATCTTCGTATCTTTGCGCACGCGGAAGAATTTGTCTGCAGGCGGCGGCACCGGTAGGGATGGGAAGATCGAAGGGTGAGGGAAGACAGAAAGCTCCTCGAAGGGGACCTACAACAACAACGATCGCGAGCAGCAGTAACAACTCCCCCAACCCGTCCGTTGTGGGTGATGACGAGAAAATGAGCAAGGTGAGTTTTCTCGCGCGCCACGAAATTGGCGACGATGATTTTACTCAGACTCCTCGTGATGAATCAGCTTCGGATGTTGTTCCGAGAGCTATCGCGTTCGAGGAAACACCACCTTCGAAGGTTGAGGACACTCCTGATAGAGCGGATCCAAAGCTCGACTCTGGTGTGATACGTTTTTTATATCCTTGATGCGGTCGGTCATCTAGGTGGATGCACCGAACGCTGTCTTTCTAATTGATCAACTATTTCAATGAATTCTGAATCGTTTGTTGTTAGTTTTCATCAGTATCATCGTAGGAAGGGAAACTCTCATCACTCGAAGTGGTTGCGTTGGACTGGCGGGAAGGACTGCCCTCTCGCAGTAGAAAAGGCTCGTTATGGCTGGTAAAAGAAAACGAGGCTCGGAAGATGCTCCGTCCTCTCCGGTAGCCCCGACGAGGGCGCGGAAGGTGGCTGTGAAGAAGGGAGGGAAGACGGCACCCCGCGAAGGGGAGATGTTCTACCTCTTCAAATCGGAGCCGGAGAGCCGCTTTGAGAAGGGTATGGACATGAAGTTCAGTATTGATGATTTGATAGCCAGCGAGAACGGCACGGCTGAGTGGGATGGAGTGAGGAATTATCAGGCGAGGAATCTTATGAGGGAGATGAAGGTTGGGGATAGAGGATTTTTCTACCACTCCAACTGCAAACCCCCTGGGATTGTGGGTAGTAGCTGCGTGCCAGTCGGTGGATGAGCATGTGATGGTGGCAGGTATTGTTGAGGTGGTCAGAGAAGCTTATCCCGGATGATACCCAGTTCGATCCTAAGAACCCGCATTTTGATCCAAGAAGCAGCGAGGAGAATCCTAAGTGGGACATGGTTGATGTCAAGTGAGTGAGCGAGGATCCGATCGGAACGGATGGAGTATCCGAATCCTGTCGAGTTTGCAGGTTCATACGGAAGCTCGGCAGGAAGATATCACTCGATGAGCTGAAAGATTATCGCGAGAAGGAGGTGGGTTGCTCCCAATGGGTTAGCGGAGGAGGTCTTGCACTGTGCAGTTATCGTCGATGGGGCTCTTCACTACGGCAAGGCTCTCAGTTCAACGTGTCATGCCGGCCGAGTGGGAGTTCATTCTGTCTCTTGAGAAAGTACAGAATAATGAAGCTGCTAGTCAGGCATGAATTCGATCATTTTTTATCGTTTGGTGATGTTTTCGTTGCGTTCGGCTGGTGAGGAGGCGAAGGTACCCTCAGAAAGATCTCAAACGCAACGCCCTAGTTCATCCACCTTGAAGATAGTATCTCCCTCTCATCGAATTCTGACGAGTTGCGGAGCATATTTCGGGATGGTACATTACGGGCAATCTAGAGAGTGCAAAACTGTTCAACACGAGAATTTTTTATCCACGGCGAGTTTTAGCCTCAAACTTCGTTTACACACTCTCCTTCATATGTCATAATGAAAACCAGGTCGCGCAAACAAAACTCGGAAAAAATATTTTCACCACCTTTTCGACTCCCCGGCGAGCACGCTATGCCTCCCATCGACATCGTATCTTGCTCTCATGTCCCCAAACTTGTGATACATACAGAAACTAGCGAAACTCCAGGAGTGAAACTCCTTCCTGATATGCTGGAATGGTCTAGTTGGTTATGACGACTGCCTCACACGCAGTAGGTTCCGAGTTCGACTTTCGGTTCCAGTATGCATGATCAATCATCCGGACTCTCTCTCAGGATCTGGGTCGACACTGGGAGTTATTGCCGTTACTACGTTATACCAACTGAACGATCATTCAATCAGCCACTGTGTACTATCAGTACAGAAGAGGTCCTATCGGGATTCGAACCCGAGTCGCTGGATTCAAAGTCCAGAGTGCTAACCACTACACTATAGGACCGTCGAAGCTTCAGAGACTGTGCTGCGCTGGAAGATCTGGCAGCTAATCTCACGGAGCAGTCGCGCCTCACAAGACACCCTCCACGAATTTCCACAGTGAAGCGTATATTGGCATTTCCCGTGACTGCCACTGACGCCCGACAGTGTTCAACCAGTGTTTCCACGATCGAGTTGGAGTTCACGAATGTCGGTCCAGTTTAGTGTTACCCTCCTCGCCGGGTACAGCTTCATGCAACACTCAGAACTCCTATTTTCATATCGTCCCCCACCGTTTCATCCAGCTCATCCCATTCATCAACGAGCACCAAGAAGTTGAAACTCCCAACACAGAAGTAAGGCATGGTACACTGCGCAGTAATAGAAATTTTGGGTTACCTACCGTCACAGTTGACCTGATCGTTTCAGCGGAAGCCTGCGCCGGGGTTCTAAGGGTATTGGGATACCCTCACACTCGGTTCTATAGCGGCCATTCATGCTCTGCAGTTAGGGCTGCATTGAAAATTACAAATCTTCGAGGATCTCAGCTCGACAGGAGCGGGTTGAGTACTGAACCGGGATCGAGAGCGATACTTCAAGACATTGCCGGGAACCATGTCTAGATCATGCCTCTTTGCACCGAGGTTGTCAGATCGTTCGTAGAGATGCTAGTTTGTACTCGACCTGAGACCTGAACTCGGGACTAACGGCGTGTTAGGTAGTCCTTCTCGTCGGACTGTGCTCTATGGCAAGCTCGATTCCCTGGGGAAGGGCACATCTCTGCCGAGTCGAGTGAAACTCCAGGTAACCAGATATGCTGGAATGGTCTAGTTGGTTATGACGACTGCCTCACACGCAGTAGGTCCCGAGTTCGACTCTCGGTTCCAGTATGCATGATCAATCATCCGGACTCTCTCTCAGGATCTGGGTCGACACTGGGAGTTATTGCCGTTACTACGTTATACCAACTGAACGATCATTCAATCAGCCACTGTGTACTATCAGTACAGAAGAGGTCCTATCGGGATTCGAACCCGAGTCGCTGGATTCAAAGTCCAGAGTGCTAACCACTACACTATAGGACCGTCGAAGCTTCAGAGACTGTGCTGCGCTGGAAGATCTGGCAGCTAATCTCACGGAGCAGTCGCGCCTTCCAAGAGGCCACTGGAAATTAAATTTCCACGAATTTTCACAGTGAAGCGTATATTGGCATTTTACGTGACTGCCACTGACGCCCGACAGTGTTCAGCCACCGTCTGCATGATCCAGTTTAGTGTTACCCTTCTCGCCCGGTACAGCTCCATGCAACACCCAAAACCCCCATCGTCCCATTCGACCGGACATGTGTGCGGCCGGCGCGTGTGCTGTGACAGGACAGTGGCGTGCGCATTTTAACAACAGACATGATGCATCTCTCACTCGTGCCGTCTCCGAGTGCTTCCCGATGGGCTGCGGCGAAAGCAAATCAGTAGATCTGAAAAGATCTTTCAGTACATCTCTCCATGCAAAAAATCGCTGCAGCAGCTCTTCCACAACACTTGTTCATTGCAGTTCGTGCCGATAATGCTTCAATTACGAACGGTTTGTGAACCTCGGAACTCGAAGCGAATGCCGAGTAAACTGAGCTTACGTAGCTGAGTTCCTCCGTCCCTCTGCGTTTAATGGTCGCCATTATCCGCCTACCCTCCTTGGTGGGCCTTGCATCAGTAACGGCTCTGCAATCCTCTCAGAGACAGGAGGTAGAGGTTCAGAAACCGAACTAGTCTGAGGCAAAAACAGCTGCCCAGTTTTCGTTATGGGCACCTATTATGAAAGTGCTTGTAGCCGGGTGTATTACAGCCGCTGTTATCGCAGCCACTATGACACCCACGGATTATAGGTGCCGCAGTGGCTATTCTTGGGCCGTGATTGAATCCACATAAAACCGGGGACAGAACTCGAATCAGATCAGCCTTAGCGAGCTCCTATGCTTTTCAGGTCGGATTTTTCAGTCACGTGGACCCCCAAGGAAAAGCTTTGAAGGTGGTTGCTCTGGTGGCGCTGTCGTCTTCGCCTCGGCCCTCAGATTCAAGATACCGATGGCTGTTGCCATTTTGAATATGGTTACGAAGGCGGATGTATGAATCTTTTCTTCCTCCTGAAAGATGGCAAACTCATTCTCAACATACTCGATGAGATCTCACGACTCTCTGTTACCACCAGGTGAGATCCCCCGCCCATCTGTGCCTCCAAAAATCGCATACTCCGTCAGAGCGGCTTCTCTTGCTCCCTCAGAGGGACGCCACTGTGCCTTACATGTGCGATATCACGCGTCCGATTCTCGTTTCCGAGTTATCCACCTCGGGCCCTGGTTTTCTCAGGACCTATATTGACGAAGACAAGGAGGCTTTCGTTTATTCTCTTAACGGGATAAATAGTGCTGAGGGTACCATATCTGAAATGAGGACGAAGTTCGCCACCTTCGATCCTTTCACCAATTTGAGGGAAACTATAGCGAGTTATCTTATGGAGCCCACAGGGCGCTGCAAAGACCTACTTAAGGAGATCCTGAGCAACCCTCCGACCGGCTTTGGCTCTGGAGTGGAAGCCTTTAAGAATTTCATGGCGCACAAGAGCGAGAGCGCGATTCGGGAGATCAAGGAATGGAACCGAAGGAAAGCCCATAGTTGATTTATCATGTTGTCATGTGATTTAACGCTCTGCTGCTGTTGACACACACTGTTGCTACAGTGTTGTACGAGTTATGTGCGGGAGGTGTCAACTACATGGATCATCTGTCAAATTCTGACACTCGGAGACCCTCCGGTGGAGTGGATTTTCCCCGGGGAAGCGAGAAATATGCGATACCTGAGAAATGGCTTCTCTTATATGCAAAAGGCAATCTCCTTCGATACGGGTTGCACTTGATCGTTTATCAATGGTCGACGCTCGAACCTGCATCTTGAACACTTCACGACCGATCGCCCAAAAAGTTCTACATCGGCAACCCAGAGTGAACGTACGATTCGTGATACACAGTATGCTATTCTAGCACACTTACCAGTCACTAGCAGGTCTATAACGGTGATCACCCTCAGGGGCAGAAACTGATAGAGGTAATAGACAACTGCAGCAGAGTACTCTAGTTCGACTGGAACACTACTGTAAAGCGGATCAACTTCTCAGGGGGGAATGAGTTTCTGCGGACCCGAGTCAAACTTGAGAACACCGGAGAGCTAGAATGGTCTAGTTGGTTATGACGACTG